ACTTACCTCGTTTAGTACCGCTAGCTTGGAAAGAGGATAATCTGAAGGGCCGCGAAGGAACGGTGGCAAAAGATTATTAGTAAAAGCACAAGGGTGAGGAACAAGAGAAACATTAGTTAAAAGAAAACCCGGCTAAGTCAAATCACACACCTTGACTAAAGAAACCTATCCACCTGAATGTTACGTGAGTGCTGGTCCAAGAAGCGACAGACTCGCCGAAAATCACGTTCACAATATATAAATTTTTCAATTTTACAATTATAATAAAGTGACGATATTTATTTACTTTTTTAAAAAATAATAAAGCCTTGGCAAATTAATCAAGTATATATTAATATTTGATAATAAACAGTACCATAGAACAAGTTTTTTAGTAAGTTTAATTAGATAGACAAAAAGATAAATTTGTATAAAACAAATTTGAAATACATACTTATTTTATAAATCTAATAAACAAAGTATAAATCACTTATTAAAAAAATGTTTTAAATAATCTTAAATTACAAATTTTCAAATATAAATTTTTATTATATTTAATAGAATTATGTTTAAAAAATCAATTTCAAAAAATTATGACTCACACTGTATACAGTATCTCAGAATGTTATTAATTACATATTAAATTAATGTTTCAAATAAATAATAGTCACGTGACATCGTGGTTGCTTGTCTCGTTTTTATTTTTTAATTACCGTATATGTCGATGTACAATAGTGGATTTTTCCGACATTTTTTTCTAAAATTTATTCCGATATATTATGCTAAGCCTTGATGTCATATACAGTATTTCGTTTAAATTTTTTATATTACACATTGGAAAATTACGTTGAATAATGGAATAAAATAAATTTCGTTTCTTGTTTGTTTTATGATTTGGAAGTTGACGCGTAATTAAAACTGAGACTAACTAGATCAGCAAATACATCATAATTTTCCGAATGTAATATTCTATTGATTGCGATTGAAAACCTACAGTATTTCTTGACGGATGAAATGCAAACACGCTAGCTTCTGAGGCTTCACTGTATTCCTCTTCATTCGCAAATAATTCTCTAAATTCTTCAATATTAATCTCTTTTGATGTCAGCAAAGCGTCAATTACACATTTTCCTGCTTCATGATGGTTTTGATTTTTAAGTATTTTCACTGAATTAAGTTTGTTATCGGCTTCAAGTAATATTTTCTCCCTGATATCTATAGAAAATGAGATAGGCAGTTAATCCAAAGCAGAATTAAGTAAATTATGAAACTTTATGAAACATTATTCATTCATACCTTCAATGGCTTGTTTTGATAAAAAATAATTTGCAACATCTTTCAACTCTAAAATGCGCCCACCAACTAATTGATATAATTCTTCCGCTTTTTTGGTGATATTATGTATCTCAGTCAGATATTTTATTGATTCTTCCTTGCTAAGGTCACCGATTTCTATTGGTGGCTTTTTTGCTCGCGACCAGGAACCACAAGTTAGATGAGAATTGTATCATAAGTCATGTCTCCTTTAAGGGAAAGAATAATTTCTACACTTACATGTTATTCTTCTCGGAACTGCGCCTTCACTATTGACAAACACCGCAATGTATATTTGGTCATCAGCATTTTTTTTGGCATCACATTGAAGGGTATCAAGGATTTTTGGTTTCTTTGGAATTAACTGGCTAACATTATCATAAATGATGACTGCAGGTTTATTGTATTTGGCTTTATACTCCTTGGCACCACGGTTAAATGCTTTCAGAGCTCTCTTCCATAATAGATCATTATAGTCGTCTATCAAGAAAGAAATTAAGGTCATAAATGTTTGCTTATAAAATGCAATGACAATAGACTCACTATTAGTATTTCCCAATTTTCGTGTAAATAGTTGTGTAAAAGAGATCCGCTCCTCAAATGCAAAATCGAGAGCTTTTCCAAATGCTAAGCCAAAATCTTCAACATCAGAAGGAACATCAACGTATACAACGCCACGACCAACTTCACTTCCATGTTCACCACAAACCACATAATAAAATGATTGCCTTCTGTCTGGTTGAAAAATGTTTTTTAGGTGATCCACAATTATAGGTCGAGAAAAAAGCTCATCATCTAAAATATCTACTTTAGGTTGAGTGCCTTTTTCGACGGCTTTAATAATACTTCTATTTTTTAATTTGTTTCGGCAACAAGCGTAAAAAAGATCTCCAGTGCAAAAGAAACCAAGCAGAGCCATAAAGATGCCAATAATTCCTAACCCAATAGCACCCTACAAAAAGTGAGAATATGATTAGAAATTCCACTAAGCAATAACAAAACAATAATAAAAAACAACAAATACGCTCGTACAAGATAGTAGAAGGGGTTATCAGAGTTTTCGAAAGTGTGGGCGTGAAAGGATAAAGGGGTTGCAACTGGCTCCGAAAAGTAGTAAAGATAGAGAGGCAAGTGCAGTGTCAAAAATATAAATATAAATGCAAGCACAAGTATCTTTTTTTTGCGGTCGAAGACCTGAATAATTTTTGAGAAAGACATTAGTAAAATGGCGATTTCCAAAATTTTATTCCCTATTTTTATCTGCACGATTACATCATTAATCACATTGTTTTTATTTCCTTAAAGCGTAAACATGATCGGTGCTTTATTAATCTGCATCTTATATAAAATTTATTGTTAAACATGCAATCCGAACTAGATTTATTGAAAAAAGAAAATGCTAGACTAATGACTAGAATCAATGAATTAACAGATTGCGAAAGAAAAAGGTGAGCTTGAGGTTAGAATTGTGGAATTAGAACAGAAAATGCCGAGCTCAAGAACGAAATTGCAAAATTAAAACGAGCCGTTAAGAATATTAAAAATCAAATTGAACAGTTAACCTGCTTTCGCAGAAATCTCCGGAATATTCTACCCCATTACCTAACAAGGGTTGCTCGAATGGTGAAAATGCGCAGATCAAAGATTCTTCAACTCACCAAGAAGCGGATCAATCCATGACTAGCAGTGACTTAGTAACTTCAGAACAGGTAGTTAACGCAATTTACAAATATTTTATTAAATTTATATTATTAATTAAGTATATTCAAATTTTTTTATATATAATTTTTTTTTTATTTAAGAAATTCTTTTATCATATAACTTACTATACTGGTCATAAGTAACTGTACCCTTCTAATTTTCCGAAAAATGACGGTAACGCGAAAAAAATTTTTTTATTAAAAATTACATCATTGATACTAAAGTCTAATACATTGTATAGTCCCCATTGGACATTATT